AGACTTACCGTGACTACTGTTCGCTTTATCAACATTCATTTCCCCAGGCTTTCTCTGCCAGGCTTATATACTATAAAAGAGGGCGTCTCGAACAAACTCGGGTTTACTCGATAATTCATGATCATTCGAGAAATTCTTCACATGTTACCAGCGTCACGTGACTTCCGCTGTCGTAACAATATTATTATATGTGTTTAGACCAGCCAAATATAAAGCTGTCATCTATAATATTATATTGGCTTTAAAATACGGACACAGTAATGTATAATATAATTAAACACTATTAGTTTTACATAGCTTGATGTTTAGAAATTATCGGTAGGCCCCCAGGGTCCCAGCTCCTATTCCCCTGACACATAAATAACGCCATAAATCTCTAATGTTGAAAAACCTGTTGATAAGCGAATTAAAAATGAATAAATTTTGCACATTTGTAGATCACAAAAGAAAATATATGGTGTATAATTGGTTCGATTCATTTGTTAGCAGATAGCACTCAAATATAAATTAACAAACTACCAGTATTTTTTTTTTTTACAAAATCTCCAATGTTTTTTTTTAATTTTTAAATAAAAACGCTTCTTTTGTCAATGGTTATTAAACTTACGACCAGACCAGTGGCGCGAGAAGAAAGGCGTACCTTAGACAGAGTAATATTTTATCTCTTATCATTTGACTGGTTCGTCAAAAACTTTTTATATACAAATATAACTAATACCTTGATTTACCCAATCCTTTGAGACAAATGAAAAATAGTTATATTGGCAAATCAGTACAACTATAATATGCAGGCATATCACATGTTATGTAAGTACTTTTTACTAATATGAGAATTTAAATTTTTTTCCATTGAACCTGTTTCTATGCGGTTTTGGCAATAAACACAAGGCCCAGAAAACCGTTGATTTCTATAATTCTAGTTCCCTGTGTTTCTTTGTTGATCTTGAATAAGTATTATCTATTTTGTCTGAAGGACGTGTAAGATAGGTCATAAACAGCAGTGCCCTTCAGACAAAACAGAATTTTTCCAGGTTGAAGAATTATACTTGGTTAGAAACATGAGTTTATCCACAGAACGCTATTTCGAGGGATATAACTACTGATTGATTCAGTGACCCCGTATAGTTATCAGTCTTTACTAACGTGTGTGTTTGACCTTTTCCTGATCTTTTGAGTATATGAATTTAAAGGAACACTTCTAACTAAAAGAATGGCTTATTCTCAAAATGGAAGTATTCATGATCTAGAAGAAGAGGCTGCTGCAAGAGTGAGACAGTCTCACAAGAAAAGTATCTAGTCCAGGAGAAGCCCTATCCTGGACATAGAAGTTTCCACGATTCTGTAAAGGTCTCTGATATTTATAAACCTACAGTTACAAACTCAAGCCGATGTTTAGAGCACCCAGACTAGTAAATCTAACCTTGCTACTGAGGATTAATCGTAGTACAAGGGAAGTGAGGACAACTGAGAATCACAGCAACAGAATGGCATCTGGCGAGTCTGAGACTACATAGGGATATCTCTACAGTATAATTAACAGACTGTCGCCAGTCAAAATACAACAGTTCCAGCTAAGGTCAAGGCAACCCACAACTAGCCAAGAAGGACTGAAAGTGCCACTGATAGATGACTTTTGCAAGCCAGATGTTTCCTTAGCAGATATACAGCAGGCACCTACTGGAAAAGACCATAAAGCTATTTTAAGTTGGGAGGTATCCTATCAGGATAACTATGGCTTGCAATAAAACCTAGAATCATGCAGAATTATACAATGAATTGTCACAAGTAATTCCTTACTCTGTCTCTTTGAAACTAGCGACCAATTACTAATCTGAGTGTCAGGGACCCTGAGGATGTCTATTGGTTGAGAATCACAAGAGAGAGGCTTTTGTCAACTCCACATATCCATATGACTGAAGAAATTTTACCCCAATGTTTAAAGGAGCATTTAAAGAAGACCTGGATGGTTCTTGAAGCATCTCAAGCAGGGAAATGTCTAAAATGGCTGAAGTCAGGAGCAGGTAGCCCAACAAGTGATTCTGAGTAGCAACAGGAGGATTGAGATACATAAGGTGGGCCAAAGCTCATACACTCGTCAATACATAAGCTCAGTCCATCATTAATGCATTAAAAGACTACTGGATATCATGGGTCAGAGCACTGGAAGAGATCTACATGTATCAGGGACATAATTTCAACAGATAAGTACTCTGTGTGTTATCTAACGTGTTAGTTATGGTGAAGATATACCCTTCATCTTATCAACCACAATCAAATGGTTTGACAGAACAATTAACACAAACTAAAGAGGATACTTGCAAACTTTGTTAATCAGAGCATACAGAGCAACTGAGTTTTGATCTACAAACTGTTTCCTAAACATGCTCATGTTTGGAAAGGAAATAGTACTTCCTGTTCATGCAATGTATGGACGTCCCAAAATGTCCACAGGAATATGCGGAATGGTTAAGACTTACAGTAGTTGATACACATGAGCTTGCCTGATAATAATTAGGAAAGGCCATTCAAAGACAGAAGAAGGGTTATGACAAAATGGTAAAAAAGCCAATGCTCCAGTGTGGGAATTGGATCTTGTTGTGATATGTGTTGGCAGCATGGAACCAAGTTGTATCTGGCTCGACTGATCCGTATCTTACAGGTTAATAAATTGTTCCATTAATGTACAAATTACAGCAGACATGGTGTACATGAAAGTGTGTGTAGCATATCAACAAGATATGTCTGTACATCAAAGATGATCTTCTTGTATACTGACTTGAACAGAAGTCTGAGGATGGGTCTGACGAGTCAGAGGAAGATGAGGATACTCACTCACCCATAAATAGTCAATGGATTACACCACACTTGTAACCATCAAGTAAGTATGAAAGTATCCATACTATAACTTTTAATATGGTACATATATCTCCACGAAATCTGGCAAGCTTACAGAAAGAATTCTATATCTTTTGTACAAAAAAATGGATTGTTTTAGTTAAGTGTTTAAAAACTAAAACTTTGTCTATGAATATATGAAATCAGAATGTTGATTGCTCCGAGTCCAAAGTGATTTTCATGTTAATATTACAAATGCTTTTCTTCATTCCAAAATTTTCAAATTTCATTTATGTAACCTCTGAAACCTCCTAAACAAATATCAAATGTTTTTTTTTCAGTAAACTTTATATTTATACCTTATTTTCTCTACTCTAACTCTATATGCCTTCGGTCAATTTGACTGACCTTGTAAATACCAATAAAATATTAATAAATATAAATTA